AGGATTTCTCCCCGCTGCGAGCGATAAGGGACTGAAAAAAAGATGATGGTCAGAACACAAAAATACATAAAGAAAGAAGGGGGCGAAAAGCAAGATTAAGTTAATACCCGGACAGTGGGAATGACAATGTTGCACAGGGCACCCCTGGCCTAGTTTAGAGCTTCCAGCACGGCCAAGATCCCCTCATTGACACTCCCCCGCTCTATGCTCTCAGTAGCATCATCTCGCGAGAAGAGTGTCGACGTCGGGTCTTGTGGATTTATCCACTGGAGTAGAGGCTCGCCCCACATAGGCGAGTGGCTGCCTCCTAACACCAGGGCCAAGGGCAACTCCCCGCTAATCCTCTCCACCACCGCCACGACTCTCGGGGATGCCTCGGCCGTGTCCCTCTCCATCCGGCCCATGTCGAGAGCCGTCATTTGGGCCGTCGGAGGTGCGGGTCGCGTCGCTACCTCAGACATTGCCACGGTGGCATCCGGCCATGGCCCGCCTATCATGGCCGCCACCACCTCTGCCTGCCTCGATGGGGCCTCGTTTGGCAATGTCACGCCCACCGGGGTCGGCGCCACGAGCACGGTCAGAAGCTCTGACCGACCCATCGTCAGCAGCGGCACCCCCTCCATCATTGGTTCTTTAGTGACCTCCGAGGGCGTCCTTTGAGCCCCTGTGCCCTCTTGTCCCGCCAAGGGCACGGGTGCCACCGTGGACAGCGCCTGACCTACCAACGAGGTAGTAACGCTAGCGCCACTCCCGCCCAAAACGGGTGCGATGTCAACCGACGACCGCCGCCTCGCCTAAATGGCGATGCTCTTCTTTTGTGCTAGCACCAAAGAGTTGCCCCATCTCAGGATGCTGCAAGAAACAAAAGGCGTAAGTCACACTAAAAATAGAGAAAAACAGAGAAAGCAAAGGAGTCAATGAGTTACATCGGCGCAATTGGGTGGAGGATACGTTTCGGGGATGAACCCCCACTCCTTGCTCCACCTCGTCCGGGCGGGGCCGTTTTGAGCCCAACCCCTGCTCCCAGGAAGAGGGGCTCGCCTCCCTTGCATCCAGGGGCGTGGCAGCAGAGCCACCTGCCTCTATCAGTACCTCGGGCACGGCGGCGGATCCGCCCGCCCCCGCTGGCTCTTGAGGCGCGGCGGCGGGGCTACCCCCCTCCGCTGGCGCCTTGGGCGCGGCAGCAGATCCTCCCACCCCTGCTGGTTCTAAGGGCGGCCTAGCCCATCTCCACCGGCCTCATGGACGCACTTTGCCCTCCATGAAATGGGAATGGTCCCAACCCCTGCAAAAGTGAGTGGGCACCTATCAGCAGGTCCTCGCTCTCCAACTCACCACGCTCGGTATCATCAACTACCTCCTCATCATCTTCCTCGTCGTCATCGTCATTGTCACTGTCCGTGTCCTCCCCTCGCTCCCGTGCCCGCAGCTTCTGCTGTTTCTTCCTCCTCTCATCCTCCTTCGCCTTCCTCTGCTGCTCGACTTCAGCGGGGTTGGCCGCCATGCCATCATGGATGGGTCCTTCGACAGCAGAGCCAGGTGATCAATAAGGACAAGTTTCTTTGGCTGGTCCCCCTATCTCAATGTCAGCATCAAGAGGTCGGGAGTTCAATCAAAAAGGAGGCACGAGGAAAGAAACTTATGAAGACGATGTACCATGGTTCTGACCGCATTGGGGGGTGCCCCGGCACCGGATACACAAACTCGAGGACAGCGTCGGCGTTGTCCCGCGAAGGCTCCATCGCCTCCTTGATGCACTATGCTACTTCAGATGGGGAGAGCGCTTTCTCGGCGAGCGCCATCCCATCGAGTGATGCCCTAGGCGCCATCATGTGTAGGGGAAGCGCGTGCCTCATCAGTGGTGCCACCCTCCTCATATGGTAGGCACCGATGATACCCGACCCTTTCAGGCCCCTCTCCTTCAAGATTCGGAGGGCGGTGAGGTGGTCTCGGATCCTCTTCTTGTCCCTCTCTGGGACTCCCCACTTCCTCCATGAGTCTAGGACCTCTTCGATGAGGCGCCTGGTGAACTCTGGCAGGTTGGCGGCCGTGTCATTCTTGACGTAGAACCAATGCGAATGTCACCCCTTGTTGGAGGTCGACAGACGCATTGCTAGGTATTCGCCGACCCGATTGTTGTGGAGTTGGATGCCGGCGCATCCCATCGGCGTGCTCACCTCCTCCTTCTTCTCCCACTTCTTCAAGAGGGTGACGGCGAAGAAGTATCACCACAAGTCGAAGTGGGGACCGATCCCCAAGAATCCCTCACACATGGCGACGAACGCACCCACTAGATTCCATTGGGATTGAGGTGCTGCAGCTCCACCAAGTAGTAGTGCAGCAGTCCCCGAAGGAATTTGTGAGCAGGAGTGGCGAACCTAGGCTCATGAAAGTGAGCGAAGGACACGACATAACCGTCGGGTGATGACGGCACGTCATCGTCACCGGGCAGCCGCCACTCCTCGGCGGCGGTCTACGCGCAGAGAAGACCACGGTGGATGCGGCCCTCCAGGTGCTGGAGGGTAATATCCGAGCAGCACCACAGCTCCATTGGAAGATTGGGGTGGGTGGATGCGAATTCGACGATGGCTGAGACGTGGATGTGGGGAGCTTAGGCGATTGGTGGTGGAGGTTGCAGATGCGAAGGCAAGGAGGCAAAGTACAAAACCCTAGGGGTGAACTCTTTGGTTTTATAGGGGCGACAGATGTGAGGAAACCAACCGTCCGCCTGGATATCCGCACCTGCCATGATCCATCACCACGTCACGTCACGGGATATGCGCTCGCAATCCCTATCCTTTCCCTCTGAAGATGCGTTGGACATTTCGCCTCCCTGGGCGGACCAGGACTCTTTACCAGCAAAAGGAATATGGGTCAAAAAGCATTTCTCCGGCCTACCTGGGCCTAGGAGTTCGAGGGCTGGCCCATCAACGGTTTCAACGCCCATCCCAAGGCACCCTTACGACAAGGGATGGGCCTGCAAGCGGCCAGAACTCAGGTGCATGAGCGTCATGGGAGTCTTGGCCCTTGATCGAGTCTCAACCGGGCTAACCTTGGCTGGATCCCCCGCGAAAGGGATATCGGGATCCCAGTTGAACTATCTAGCTAAACAACCACCAAATCTCATGACCATACCCGTGAAGGGTCTGACCTCGGCGAAGAAGAAATCACCATCTTCAGGGCACGCCATGCGCAACAATAGAGGGCCAAGGCTCTCAGAATCCTCTCTTTCAAAAAACCCTCCGAAGGAGTATCCTACTCCTTCGCAGGCTCGGGGGCTACACCCACCGGGTGCGCTCGAGCGCACCCGCTGGCAAGTCAAAAAAATCCCCCAGGCAACTCTATTCGAATCGCCCGGAGGCTCGGGGGCAACTATCGGGGACCAATATTAAGGGTACCCGAAGAAGAGGAACTAATGACCATCAACATTAATTTATCCGCACAATCAAGAGCGCGACTACACCACTTGTCGGGTCACTTCTCGTCCGTCCACCGAGACCATGGGCCCTGCCTCGTCTGACCCTCGAGGGTTGGCTCCACCTCGGTGGGCACTGTGGCCGCAGGCCCCATCTCGCCTAACCATCAAGGGTTGACTTCGCCTCAGGTTGACTCCCGAGGGCTGGCTCCGCCTCGCTCAATGTCGAAGGGTTGGCTCCACCTCGTTCGACGTCTGGGGGCTGGCTTCGCCTTGCCCGACGTCTGGGGGGTGGCTCCGCCTCACCCAAGTGCACGAGGAAGACGGCGCGGCGGCGCCGTGGCTGCAGCGAGGGCGCGAGAAGACGGCTAGGGCAGAACTTCCGGCTCCCAGGGGAAGCCGGAAACAATTAGATTTGTTTCTGCGTAATTCTCAAAATAGTCTTACAAGATATTTAAAACACCTCTCATCTAATAATAGGAAATAAATTATAGTAATTCTAATAATTCTAATAATAGTTAATACGACACGACGACGTGGGCTTGAGGCCCATCCCGGACGTGGCCGTGGCCCTAGCCACGAGCCGGCCTTCTCCGGCCGTAGTGCACGTCCGTCATAACATAAACACTATAGCTGTTGCTAACATTGCAAATATGAACTAGTAGTACTTATAGACAAAAAAAAACGGAGAAGAGAATTCATAGATTTTTATGAGATATTATTCGCTGTTCTCAAATATTTTGTTACACTGTGGACACACTGAAAATATCACAGGAGTGCGAGTGTGCAGACACTAGTATCCTCTTCTGATGTCGCTGAATAAAGTTTTTTTCTGACGGCACAAAAAATGCAACACGACAACTTATAAAACCTTTTGGTCTGCTGAGCTGACTGCTGGCGTTTTGGGCAATCCTGAAAACCTGAAACTCTATTATGCTCATGCATGCAATGCAAACATGCAACGCGCCATTGTGCAGTGTGTTTACAGCGCCATCTCTTGTGGCTCTGATCGGAGAAGCACAGTAATTGTATCTGAGTACACTTCCACTAACGATAGTTTTCGTGGCACACTGAAACAGGCAACCTACTACTAGCTTTGCTGTTGTTTGCCTAGGCATCAGAGGTCCACATGTCCCCCTTTCGCCAATCAGATGTTCACTCTGCCATAGACATGTTGAGCTATGATCCAAATTCAAGCTTGGACCGAAGCGAAGCGGTCCATTAGCGTTAAGAAGGACTACACCATCTATTAGTTCCATATTGCTAATAGACGAGGGTGTGGGGTTTTTTCTCCTTATATATACGGACCACCTCCCTCATGAAAGGAAACATCATAGACTTGTATACGGGAAGGCCCCTAGGTTAGGGTATCCCCAAGTTGTAAATCTCCGGCGTTTGTAACCTCACCCGATATAGTGAAGATTTGCTGGCTGGTGCCCGTGGTTTTTCCCTTTCACGTTGGGAGAGTTTTTCACGTTAAAATCTCTCATCTCCTGTGTTTGATCTACTGTTCTTCGTCGTTTATATTGCCTATCGTTTATAACAAGTGGTACCAGAGCTTGGTTTAACCTTAGGGTTTTTCGCGATGGCATCGATGAAGTTTGATCTACCGCTGCTGGATTATAAGACGAGATTTGCACTGTGGCAAGTCAAGATGCGGGCGATTCTGGCACAATCTTCGGATCTTGATGAGGCGCTGGACGGTTTCGGAGAAAAAGGGCAGAAGTCATGGACCGCTGAAGAGAAGCGGAAGGATCGTAAGGCTCTGTCTCTGATTCAAATTCATCTATATAATGATATTTTGCAAGAAGTGCTGCAGGAGAAAACTACCGCAGAACTTTGGCTCAAGCTGGAATCGATCTATATGTCCAAGGATCTAACCAGTAAGATGCACGTGAAGATGAAGTTGTTCACGCACAAGCTGCAAGAAGGTGGTTCGGTGATGAACCACTTATCGATCTTTAAGGAGATCGTTGCCGACCTAGTATCGATGGAGGTAAAATATGATGATGAAGATTTAGCTCTTCTACTGTTATGTTCACTGTCTACTTCGTTTGCAAATTTTCGAGATACCATACTATTAAGCCATGATGAACTAACTCTTGCGGTAGTATATGAGGCCCTCCAGACGAGGGAGAAGATGAAAGGTACGGTTCAGTCTGATGTGTCATCCTCCAAGGGCGAAGTGTTGCAGGTTAGAGGCAGGCCCGAGCAGAAAACCTACAACAACAACAATAATCGAGATAAGAGCAAGAATGGTAAAGGCCGTTCTAAGTCCAGAGGCAGGGATAAGTTCTGCAGGTATTGTAAGAAAGATACTAATGTCATTGAGGATTGTTGGAAGCTACAGAATAAGGAGAAAAGAAACGGTACGTATAAACCAAAAAACAAATCCGATGGTGATGGTAAGGCCTCTGTTGTCTCCGCTGTTGATACTTCTGATTCAGGAGACGTTCTGGTTGTTTTTGCTGGTTGTGTTGCTGGTCGTGATGAATGGATACTTGATTCTGCATGCTCATTTCATATATGCTCTAACAGAGATTGGTTCAATTCTTACGAGTCTGTGCAGAGTGGAGATGTCGTGCGTATGGAAGATAACAACCCACGTGAGATTGTGGGCATTGGTTCCATTCAGATCAAGTTTCATGATGGCATGATACGCACATTGAAAGATGTGAGACACATACCAGGGATGGCCAGAAATCTTATCTCCCTCAGCACACTTGATGCCGAAGGATACAGACACTCCGGTTCAGGTGGAGTGTGTAAGGTATCAAAAGGTTCTCTTATTCATATGATAGGTGATATGAATTCTGCAAAGTTATATGTTCTTAGAGGAAGTACTTTACATGGTTCCATCACTATTGCTGTTGTTTCTAATGATGAACCAAGTAAAACTAATCTCTGGCATATGCGTCTTGGGCATATGAGTGAACTTGGTATGGCAGAATTGATTAAGAGAGACCTGCTGGATGGCTGCACTGTGGGTAAGATGAAGTTCTGTGAGCACTGTGTTTTTAGTAAGCACAAGAGGGTAAAATTCAATGCATCTGTTCATATCACCAAAGGTACACTTGATTATGTACATGCTGATTTGTGGGGGCCGTCTCGTAAGCCCTCTTATGGTGGTGCTCGTTACATGCTTACCATTATTGATCATTACTCTAGAAAAATGTGGCCTTACTTTCTGAAAAATAAAGATGATACTTTTGCTGCTTTTAAAGAGTGGAAAGTTATGATAGAATGACAAACTGAAAAGAAGGTAAAATTGCTTTGTACTGACAATGACGGTGAATTCTGTTCGGATGCTTTTAATGATTATTGCAGGGAAGAAGGCATTGTCAGGCACCACACCATCCCGTACACTCCTCAGCAGAATGGTGTGGCTAAGCGCATGAACCGAACCATCATCTCGAGGGCTCATTGTATGCTGTCCAATGCTCGTATGAACAGGCGTTTTTGGACTGAGGCTGCTAACACCGCCTGTTACTTGATCAACCGGTCACCTTCTATCCCACTTAATAAGAAAACTCCCATTGAGGTATGATCTGGTATGTCTGCTAATTATTCACAGTTGAGAGTTTTCAGTTGCACTGCTTATGCTCATGTTGATAATGGAAAGCTAGAACCTAGAGCCATTAAGTGTCTGTTTTTTGGTTATGGTTTTGGAGTTAAAGGATATAAGTTATGGAATCCTGAAACTAAAAAGACTTTCATGAGCAGGAACGTTGTTTTCAATGAATCTGTTATGTTTAACGACAGCTTGTCCACAGATGTTTCACCAGTTGGTTCTGATGAGGAGCAGGAACATGTTAGCGTGCAGGTGGAGCACGTAGATGATAAGAAAACTGAAATTGTTGATAACAATGTTCATGATATCATTCAGCACTCACCTCCTGTTTTGCAGCCTCAAAATCAATCTATTGCAGATCGTAGAACAAAGAGGAGTTGTGGACCTCGTCCACATTTAATTGAGGAATGTGATATTGTTTATTATGCCTTTAGTTGTGCTGAACAGGTTGAGAACATTCATGAGCCGGCTACGTACACTGAAGCTGTTGTTTCTGATGACCGCGAGAAGTGGATTTCCGCTATGCAAGAAGAGATGCAGTCACTTGAGAAAAATGGCACATGGGATGTTGTGCGCTTGCCTAAACATAAGAATGCCGTTCGTTGTAAATGGATCTTCAAGAGAAAGGAGGGTCTGTCTCCTAGTGAGCCTCCAAGATTTAAGGCAAGGTTAGTAGTAAAAGGTTTCAGTCAGATTCCTGATGTTGATTATAATGATGTGTTCTCTCCAGTTATAAAGCATAGTTCAATTCGTACATTTTTTGGTATTGTTGCTATGCGAGATCTTGAGCTTGAGCAGTTAGATGTAAAGACTGCGTTTCTACATGGAGAGCTCGAGGAGGAGATATACATGGACCAGCCAGAAGGGTTCATAGTACCTGGTAAGGAGGATCATGTTTACAAATTAAAGAGGTCCTTATATGGTTTGAAACAGTCTTCTCGTCAGTGGTATAAAAGGTTCGATTCTTTTATGATGTCACATAGTTTTAAGAGGTCTGAATTTGATAGCTGTGTGTACATTAAATTTGTTGATGGATCACCTATATACTTGCTGTTATATGTTGATGATATGTTGTTTGCTGCCAAGAGCAAGAAAGAAATCACTACGTTGAAGAAACTGTTGAGTAGTGAGTTTGAGATGAAGGATCTTGGTGCTGCTAAGAAGATTCTAGGTATGAAGATTACAAGAGACAGAAATTCTGGCTTGTTATTTCCTAGTCAGCAAAGTTACATTAAGAACGTTCTTCATCATTTCAACATGCATGATGCAAAGTCTGTTAGTACTCCTATTGCTCCTCATTTCAAATTATCAGCTTTACAATGTGCTAGTACGGATGAGGATTGTGAGTACATGTCAAGAGTTTCATATTCTAGTGCTATTGGTTCTTTGATGTATGCCATGGTTTGCTCTCGTCCTGATTTATCATATACTATGAGTTTGGTTAGTAGATATAAGGCTAATCCTGATAAAGAACATTGGAAGACTATTCAGTGGATTTTCAGGTACCTTCGTGGCATAACAAATGTCTGTTTGAAGTTTGGCAGGACTAATAAGGGACTCATTGGCTACGTGGATTCAGATTTTGCTGCTGATTTGGATAAGAGGAGATCTCTTGCAGGTTATGTGTTCACTATTGGTGGTTGTGCTGTGAGTTGGAGGGCAACATTGCAGCCTGTTGTTGCCCTGTCTACCACTGAAGCAGAATACATGGCTATTGTTGAAGCATATAAAGAATCAGTTTGGTTGAAAGGTTTGTTTGCTGAGCTTTGTGGAGATGATTCTTGCATTAATTTATTTTGTGACAGTCAAAGTGCTATATGTCTCACTAAAGATCAGATGTTCCATGAGAGAACGAAGCACATTGATGTCAAATACCATTATGTTCGCGATGTGGTCGCGCAAGGTAAGCTGAAGGTACGCAAGATAAGCACACATGATAATCCTGCTGATATGTTGACAAAGCCAGTTCCTATTGCTAAGTTTGAGCTTTGCTTAAGCTTAGTTGGTATAACTGTTTAGCCCAAGAGTCTATTTGACACCGGAAGTATTTCTTTGTTGTTTCAGGGTGAAGGTTCGTTTTATACTACAAGAAGGAATTTGTCTCAAGTTGGAGTTTGTTGAGCTATGATCCAAATTCAAGCTTGAGCCGAAGCGAAGCGGCCCATTAACGTTAAGAGGGACTACACCATCTATTAGTTCCGTATTGCTAATAGACGAGGGTGTGGAATTTTTTCTCCCTATATATACGGACCACCTCCCTCGTGAAAGGAAGCATCATAGACTTGTATACGGGAATGCCTCTAGATTAGGGTATCCCCAAGTTGTAAATCTTCGGCGTTTGTAACCTCACCCGATATAGTGAAGATTTGCTGGCTGGTGCCCGTGGTTTTTTCCTTTCCACCTTGGGAGGGTTTTTCACGTTAAAATCTCGTGTCTCCTGTGTTTGATCTACTGTTCTTCGTCGTTTATATTGCCTATCGTTTATAACAAGACATGCCTGCTGAAACGTTCGCTTACGCTGAAATTTGGCTTATGCTGATACTTATGCTAAAATATTATAAGAGAAAAATATTGTTCCACGGCTGAAAAGTAGTGCTGAATAAGCTCAAGCGAAGGTTGTCAGCAATTTGCCTGCTTCATCTTTTGTACATATGTTAATCGTGCACTTGGATTTGCTAAACAGCTTTAGATTGAGGTAACCAAGTGGAGTTGGAGCTGACCTGCATGGAACACGCCGACTGCCCACAGCTTTCACGCGTTTGGACATTTTGCCTTCAGGTTACTGCTATGCAAGTTGATAGACCGGGGGAGGCTCTTGTTGGTTTGCCGAGGCCTGGTTGTGTAGTGTAATCTCTATGATTCTGCACTCAGAAAGAGACAGACGGTGAGAAGCCTAGTGCGTTTTTCAGACAGAGGACACAGCTCGAGAAAAGCTATGTGCCTGCCTAAAAGGTGAAAGGGACGCCATTGACGTAGGACCCCTATCGACGACCCTTTGGGATGGGCAGGGGACGGCCTCCGACCGCGCCACAAATTCAGATGAATTCGCGGCAAGAAAGGACATCAAAATCTCGGCCATGTGATGCGAGTAACGTGTTTGAGATATTCTGTTGCGCCCAAACAGCAAGGTAAGGTAAGGTAGTGACTACTGATTCGTCGCCCATATTTTCCATGCTCTAGTTCAGAGTTCAGACCCTTTCAGATTTCCATGTTCTACGTTCAGCTCGCTCGTTCAGAGTTTCAGACGCGATCACATCTCTATCTATCTATCTATCTATCTATCTATCTATGGACAAGAAAGTGACGGACGGACAAACAATTCAGGCCGGAAGGACAGGTTTGTGAAAAAATTCACATTTGAGGCCTGACGTCTCAGCAACCGTTCAACGTTCAGACTAACAGAGCGAATGTAAGGCGTGATGAGATATCGAATATCAGTGCACCATAGCAGAAGAGGAAAAGTGATGGAAATCCAGGTTTAAGAAAGGAAAAGGAAACTAGTGATAAAATGGACGCGGCAAGCATATCTCTACACTTTGTTTCTGTCGGTTGTCCAGCTTTGAAAAACAACACGAAGACTCCCCTGCGGTTCCTGCTGCTCAGCTGCTGCGTTTTCAGAATTCGGATATAAAAAAAAAGAGAAGTGGACCAACCGAAATCATCAAAGCCCATTGGGCTGGATGGAGCCCGTGTCCCAGTCTGCTCGCAGCGGCCCGTGGGTAGCGAAGCCGCCTCCTTATCCAGCGGACTCGGAGCGGAGCGCGTCGCCCGCTCGACGTCATCAACCCAACCCAGTCCACCCCTGACGACTTCCGGCATCCCCAGTCACGCATCGAGCGGCCAACCCGCACATCCCCACCGCCCAGCCTACCACGTGGCGCGATCCTACCCGCAATAACTCTGCAATAGTAGCCATAGCAGCAGCGGATTTGGGTACAAGATAAATATAATACTACTACTACCACTAGCTACTTAATTTCACCACAAAAGCGAACTCTCTCTCTCTCTCTCTTCAAAAATATCTAGCGATCCACACTCGTGCTGCAGTTCCCACTACTTGCATACGTCAGAAGCTAACTTGTTTTGTAGAAATATTTATTTTTTATGAAATAAAATTATCTCAAACAACAAAACGGAGTACACCATTGCAGAGGAGCCTGCGGATTACACGCATCTCGCTGCCGCCCCATGGCGATATCTCCGCCCGCCGGAGCCAGGCCGAGCGCCGGGCACGAAGCCGCCTCCTTATCCAGCGCTCGGCGTCGGCGTGGTCGCCGCGCTTCCGGCCGTGGACGCCGTCGCGCCGCCGCCGCCGCCCGCGCGCCGCCGCGGGCGGGAGCGCAGCCGCCCTACTCCAAGCGCCGCCGCCGCCCCAGCGTCCGCCTTCCGGGGACATCGACGCCCCGCCCCGCGCCGCAACCACAAGCCGTCCTCGTCGTCGCACCACAAGCCGCGACGCACCCGCGCGCCGCGCGCGCGCACCCGGACGACCTCGACCCGCACACGCACAGCCGCCGGGGGCCCAAGCCGCCGGCGCAGCGCCGCCCGCGGACCGCGTGGATTCCCGCCGCGCCCGCCTCGGCGGGGGCCGCCGAGGGCTACGAGGACGACGAGGAGCGCTACTACGACGACGAGGACCAGTCCGACTCCGCCGCGGCCGCCACCGCCGCCGCCGCTGCGAAGGCTAGGGTTTCGGGCAGCCGCGACGCCAGCGGAGACGAGTCGGACGGGGTGGCGGACTGGGGCCTCCCCAACGGCCGCCTCCCCTCCGTGATGGGGTATGGCGGCGTCAAGTCCTGGCTCGATGGCTTGGGGCTTTCTCGGTACGCGCCGGTGTTTGAGATCCATGAGGTGGACGACGAGGTGCTCCCGCTGCTAACGCTGGAGGACCTCAAGGACATGGGCATTGGGGCTGTTGGCTCCAGGAGGAAGATGTATGCCGCCATCCTCAAGCTCCGGAGCGACAATGCGTCCTGAGTTGGTGAGCTCTTAGCGTCTCCTGATATCTCATTTTTTTTTCAATTCCTTCCCGTAGAGAGCTAGTAGTGATGAAGTCATGAAGGGAATAACTAGTGCTGCTTTTCGTCAATCCTGAGTGTGCTGTATATAGGTTTCATTGATGACAGCCTCATCTTTGTTGTATTATGACGCTGTTGAGAAGCTTCTCAAAAGGAATAGTTTGGAAAGCATTGAAATAATGGATTGCGGTGAACTAGTTGCATTAACATGATGCCACTGTTTTGTCATGTTCAGGCTCATAATAGATCTGACAAATGTGCACCTTTTTATTACTTGCATGATTTTGTTATACTTGCTACTTTCTATCAGAGCTTTTCCATAATTCAATCTTTCGGATTGACTTCCACTAAACATTACCTGCACAGAAGGCTATTGTAAAGGTAATGGAAAGAGGGATAGGCAAATTCTGCACAAGCTAGAAAGCACAAACAGAGCAAATCGTGCCTTCATAACAATTTTTCTGCCAATTTTTTGCACTGCCATCAACAAAGGAGAAAAAAAAATGCATGATAGGCTAGGATCCTCCGGTACTATGATAGAGATTCTGTAGTAAAAATACAATTCTCCGCTTTTGGTTTCTGAATTGTTCAAGGAATGTCAGTGGATAGATTAGTGTGCCCCTTTGGGCACATGCAGCTTATATCTACACCAGATGGAAAATGCAAATGCACCTTTGGGAGCCCATGCACACTGAGGACAAGCTTGCTTAGCTCAGGTTATTGGAGAAGAACGTCAGCTGGGTGGCAACTAGAGCTTAGGTGCTGTGACTTCTGCCTTTTTAGAATCTTGCCCCGTGTTCTTTATGTATAGTGTGCACAAGAGCAGATACGATAGATACATAAAGAAAATACAAGTCAACGTGCCATCCATACTCATTGTGGCACATCAATGCACTTTTTTTTTTTCTTTGAATCTCTTCTTGATAATAATGGTAGGTATATATTCTCCAAATCATGCAGGGACCAACTTCTTTGTTTTGACCTTGCCCATCTTGCCAGAAATCACTTGAAAGAAGATTTCTTTTGAAATATGTGTGCCTCTTGAGCCTCCCTTAAGGCCACGATTTGATGAACAGAATCCATTGTTCTTAGGGGCTATTGAGGTCAACCCACAATCTCCATTGGGAATTATTCCTTGTCGAATGAGAGCAGCAATTATTCACTTAACTTCTTCCGATAATGAAGTCAACGCCAAGTGCCACAGTTAATTTTTTATCAATACATTTTGCATCATGATTTAACCCACTTGTAAATCTTGAGCATAAATGATGTTGGGATCATCCATAAATGTTATTTCCATCATTGTTGTGCATTTTATGTTGAAATTAATGCATCAATTGCCCATTGATTGTTATGATGAGGAGCACTGTATGGTATAAGCTTTTTGACTGAGCGGTGTACATTATGTGATATACTCCATCGTTTCTGCTTCTTATGGGACCCAGGCACCCAGTTGTGACATCATTTGGTCCTTTAACTGAACTTCTAATTGGCTGCCTAGATTTTTACTTGCCTTTTCAAGTGAACTTGGTTAGACTTTCTCTTCTCCCTTTATATGTAAATTATCACTCTGCTGTGAAGAAACTGCCCTATGTATGGAGTTCATCTTCTGTTCCAATGAATGCTTATAACATGTGAAATTCTGACATATGCTGTCTTTTAGAATTACTGAAATTTGAGTTTTATTTATGATTACAAGTTTAGCATTAGTAACTAATACAGCCTATATCCTAGTCTTGCTGTTTCCATTTCTGCTTATGTTCTTTAAGTTCCATTGGTTAATTGGCTATGCATTCATATGCCTTGTGTATTTAATGTACATTTCCCATTATAGAATAGAGCTCTCCTATGCCTCAACTTTGTCCTAATTTCAGCATGAATATTTATATCCATATTTCAAACCCATAATGAATTAAAATCGATTTTTATGTGAGATTTAATAAACTTACCATTTATTTATGTTGCTGTAAATGGCACAATCACTTAGGCATTCATTGCTATATAATGCAATAATGACATATATGCTCAACTTTCTTTCTCCTACATCATGTGATAGATAAACAAAATTGGCTACCAGCCACTGCACTAAAACCGTGTCGCTGCTAGACATACTATAAAGCCATGTTAATTTATTGGTGAACACAGCAATACCAGGATGTCCACCAGGAAATGAATAGTAGTTTGTTTGGGTTGTGACACTGTTTGCAGTGTGTGTGTTGTTTTGTAGCAATTTTATATTGTAGAGGTAGATAGTAATTCATTATGTGCAAGCTGAGCCATTGTGTGGTAGCTACCATTTTAAATTGGAGGAATAATTGAGACAAGTGGTCATATATCTGAAGTAAAGAACAGAATCTAAGTTGAAAGATATTTTTATCTACTTATAGATTATTAGGCAACTGAAGTTTTTATGTCAGTTACTTTAAGGCCAATCCTTTCGTTGTCTCAGATATTTTTCTCTCTTCTCTTTATTAGCTACTGGTTAAGGCGTGCTGGGCAGCTGCAAGAAAGGTGCAAGGAAATGATATGTTGAGGCATTGATACATTGTAAGTTCAAAGAGTAGCTGATGGATCCTGAAATCATAGTTTTTTGGTCTTTTTGAAATGTCATCTCCAAAATGTGATGGTTGTCAAATATGATTAGTCTGGTACATTTTGCCGTAAGTATAAGTATGTTAGGATTATTCAGTGGGAGTGGTTCTTGGCTTGTGGATGAAAGAGGCTCAGGGTAGAAAGGACTTGCCAAGCCCAAGGTACCTTTATGCCATCTACCAAAACAACATTTCCCAGAAAAACCTTGAGAAATCGAGAGTATCCCAACAAATTGTAGTTATGTTTGGGCGGGGTGGAATTATTGTGTCACGTTGGGAGATGATGTGCCACAGCCACGGCGCTGGGCTGGTAACACTGCAATGGTAAATCAAGTGAAGAATTTCGCCATAAGCTCGAGCTGTAGACAATTGCGTCTCCTCCAACACAAGTGCTCCTTGTCAAGGTAACTAGTGATGTGTTTTGTAGGCTGGAGTACCTCACCTGTGTTTTGGCTAACTAAAACCGAAGAAGAGCAGGCCTGACATGGGACAACGTAAGAGGTACTTAGTTAGCCCAGATGATTTGCCCGGAGACACTTGGTGCTCCTGACTGCCATGGCAGCAGGAGCACTCAGAGGTTGCTACAGGCAAATCATCCTTGGCTATCAAAGATGCCCTCCTACTTCCATGCGAGGCCTCTCTTCTGCCTGCCGCTCGTGCTTCTTGTGCACTGATGCTCTGCGTTTGCATGCCTGGGCATGTGCGATTGCTTGTCGTCCAACCAACGCAAGTGCTCCTTGTCAAGGTAACTAGCGAGATGTTTTATAGGCTGGAAAACCTCACCTGTGTTTTGGCTACCTAAAACCAAAGAGGAGCAGGCCTGACATGGTACAGCATAAGAGGTACTCAGCTAGCCCGGATGATTTGCCCGGAGAAGCAGCACTTGGTCGCCCTGATTGCCATTTGCCATGGCAGCAGGGGCGCTCAGAGGTTGCTTAGCTACAGGCAAATCATCCTTGGCTATCAAAGATAGCCTCCTACTTCCATGTGAGGCCTCTCTTCTGCCGCTCGTGCTTCTTGTGCACTGATGCTCTGCATTGCATGCCTGGGTATGTATTTATAAGGAGCCATCAGGCTGGAGTTTTGACTTTTGCTAGGGGGCAGCAGCCGAGCAGCGTGTTTGACACAGCAGGAAGGAATATTGGCCTTTGTGACAAGTTAAAGCATCAGATCATTGGGGTGGCTGGACGAGAGATCTGTATTGGCTGCCTTCTCCTTTTTAGAGAGCATCCAGGGATTTGGATCTTATATTTTCCCAGTTCTTCAAATTGGTTGACTCGTGCATTATTCACCAGCAGGATGGCAAATATATTGTTCATGCCTAGGCGAGCATATCGAATATATGTGCATGTGAAGAACATAGCAGTATGTTAAGGAGACAAGGATCAGATAGTCAGGTAGGGACATGGAATGGACCGGAGAAATCTTTATAGTTTGTGGGAGAGGCAAGGCGATTAGAGATTTGGGCAAATCCATCACTGCTGCTAGCTGTATCTGATCGGCACAAGCACGAGCTACACTCTTCTTGTGCAGGGTGTTATCTGATCGGCACAAGCACGAGCTGTATCTGATCGGCGGATCGAACTCGTCTGGATTGCCCCAGCTCATGTTCGTGGGACCCCTACCAATGGTTCGCCCTCGTGCTCGCTCGCTAGCAGCCTTGTGTTATCCGCATATTTGACGCGCTATGTGCTCTCCCTTTTGTTAGACGCAAAATACTCGACATAAATTATGACTGAAACAAAATGTAAGCAATACACCATAATACGACCAAGCAATAACCAGATGACCCTCAATTTGCCACAAGTGACGACCAAGCAACAATCAAAGTGCCTGTGATGAGAATGTTGGCCTTCGCTCCACAAGCAACGAGCAAGCAAGACAACCCAACCTATGTTGAGACTACTCAGCTCCGTCCCAAAATAAAAACACATCTATGATTCAAATTTTGTCCAAATAAAAATGTACATACAGACTATCAAATTAGTATAATAGTACTGATTCAAATTAGTAGTAAGTCAGCAACAGGTTCACCAGCGTGTGGGACCAAGGAAATAAAAAAGAACTTGTCAAATAAAAAATAAGAGAAAAACGACGTAGGCTCTAGAATCTCCTGTCCACTCTTCATTCACGGACGACCGGACCACTTGTTTCGTTTTAAATTGGGCACTATTACTTCAATCATTACTATTGTTGAGTGTTAGAAAGGTAATTTGGTAGCTGCACTAATTTGTCACAAAAGCATATATATAGGATGATAGTAGTTGAATCTACAAAGCCATGACCAAGGAACATCTTGAGATCCCAGTGAACAAAGATGAAGACGACGACATGTGCCCGGGCAACCAGTAGTGGTAGCATGAAAGAA